CCTGGCAGCGGCAGCGCTCTGTCTCAGAAGCAGGTTTGCAATCCTGACTGGACTTTTTGGCTAAAATCTACTTTTTGGCTCACATGGAGCATCTGAGTCTGCTGCTTGTTGTGACATGGCAGGAGCATGCGATGTATCAGCACCTCTTGCAAGTTCCCAGACCTTCCAAAATTTCCTTGGTATAACATAGCCTGTTCAGAAGCGCTGCTGTGATTGATGAAAAGCACCAAACTGGGCTGTGTCAAGCTAGAAGTTAATTCACAATTGCAACCTGTATTGAAGAAAATATGGGTGTGTAGAACCCTTTGATTCTAAGTTGCAATATTTTTATTATAATTTCCGTGGGGTGTTTTTTAGCAACATGTGAGGAAATGGCTTATATTTCCTGGTCTTTCTGTACTCATAGAACTTTACTTTGAGGTCTGTCCTCAAATTGCCTTTGTTCTTTGTTGGAATACCAACCATTGAAGTGAAGGTACTTCAGTGGACACACACAAGTAACACATCATTAGTGTGTGGAAAAGTTTAAAGAGAGCTAGGTGTATTTTTCTAGGCTTCTTAAGAGTTTGGCTGAAAGAAACTGTCAAAAGCAAAACTGTATGGATTCTTTGAGAAGAAATTGTCTTTTATTGGCTGAAGATATATTAACACAAGTAATAATGTTTTGGGACAAAAAAAAAAGTTATGTGAAAGCAAGAGGACAAAAAAAAAAATGTGTTGGAGCATATGTGTTTTATGTATTCTGTTTCATATGTATAAAAAAAGACAGTGGTTCCACAGGGCTAATATATAAGCTGTACAAATATAGATGGTATATGTTTTCCCTTGCTTGTTCTTAAGTATAAATGGTGTTCACATTCCTTGAATCATTAATCATATATTCATTCCAGCACAGAGTGACCCAAAGATGTTAAAAGTGTGGTTGGAAAATTCTCCCTTTCTGTTCATTTCTTTCTTCATTCCCCCTTCTCCATCATTTCAGCTTCTCCATTCCAACCTACTTCATGTTCTGCCAGTTAGAGATTTCCCAGAGTAGGCACGTATTTTATTTTCTTAGTCAGAGAGCTCACATTTCCTTGGAGTCTCTTGTGACTGCTGTACTGTTATGGGCAACGAATGGGACAGAGTAAAGCTGCCTTACTCACTCTTCTTCAGTGCAGTCTTCTCCAGCTGCATTTTAAAAGCATAACTGAGCTGCAACCACATTTTGTAGTAGATTGGGTTCTGTGAGCTACGTGCACTCTTGATGGGCCCCTGTGGATATTTCTTATAGAAGAGGGCAGAGAGTGAATTGCAGGTACTCATCTGTTATGGGACTCCTCTACCTGCAAGGTGAATGTGCATAGAGAGGGCTAGCTGTGGACGCTGCACACATAAGTGTCTCTCTGCCTCTTGACCTGTCTCCAGGATCTGTCTCCAGCCCTGCATCTGTAGTAGAGGAACTGGGAAGTTTTTCTACCTGATCTTCAGACTCCAGAGCAATTGGGCTGGAACCCAGATGGCCAAGTTGCATCTACATGTATTTGTGACCAGAGCTAAAACTAGGGCTGCACTGCTGTAGGAGATGGTCAGTGAGCTTGGGTGCTACCAGGGTGAAATGAGAGCCTGCAGAGGGCTGGGACTCCATGTAGACAGCAGACTTTAGATGTAAGTGGTGGAGATGTCATGATGTTTGCTAATTAAAGAATGCACCTAATAATACTTTCTTGGCTAATTAACACAGTACTGTTATCAGTTGTATTAATTCACAGTTACATCACTGCAAGAAACACAGAGCTACAATTCTATTGCTTATTGTTAATATTAATATTCATACACAGTTACACTACTATAAGTATTTCTTACAAACAAACCATTGTTAGTTAATTTTTTCTCATCAATCCTAATTTTGTTAGGATTGAATTCCAAGTTGCTATTTCTGTCACTGTAATCTGGGCAATTTTACCTCTGCAGATTTCAATTGTGTAGATGAGACATGCAGCCTTGTATCCAAAAGTTTGCCCCATTGCCCAGACACACTGTTGTGGCACCTTCCTCAGATCAAAACAAGCATGTCTGAATATCACTGTTGGTGTAAAACTCCTATAAATGTATGTTTCCTCGGGAAATAAACACTTTTATGGTACTTTATAGCTACACATCCCATCTCTAAATTGTAAACTTTGCTGCATTTTATTTCCCTTTGTCTCAGTTATGCGCTCATTTGTAGAGTTCATTTTGTCAAGGTTTTACAAGGATCTTTGAAAGATCTATTTTTAAACTTTAAAAGTCTGAAACTCTAAAACTTGATACTGTAACTTCCCAATAATGTCAGACTAAATGAATGTGCCGTGATGTGCTTTTGAGAAATTGTATACATTCATAGATAATAAAGCAGAAAATGTTACGTGTGACTGAAAGGTCCCAGAGACCTCCCACTAACCATCAAAAAGTGAAGAAGTGGAAACTGGGTGCAATATGGAGCACCCAGGTATAATACAAAGTAGCAACATTAACACTGATCTCAAATGTTTTCCATTTATGTTCCCTATCTTTGAAGAAATCTTCCTGATGTTTCATCGTCTTAAGAATATATGTGCAATAAAGGACTGAAAACGAGAAGAAAAGAAAAAAACTTCCTAAGATTGTGGAAGAAAACAATTGTGTCCCCACATTAGCTGCTGGTATTTTTAAAACATGCAAATTTAAAGGTTGCATGATGGATACACAGACAATAGGCCTTGAACTTCTTCCAGTCAAAATAATATTAGCAGCCTCCAGGTTCTTTTTTTTTACAAGCAGACAACTATCTTGCCATAGTTTTCTCCTTAGCAACAGTTTACCAAATTTAGAGACACCCTGTTAATTAAACAAGCAAACAAAAAATCTTATTGTTCTCCTTGCTATTTTCTCAGCAGGCATCACTGAAGTCTCTCATGATTTAATTACTGCACCTGTCCGTTTGTTACTGCAGTTTGTTAGGCTGCAATATGTTGTTATTTACATCTCCAAAACGTTTCTATAAAAGTTTGGGATTAATTCTGATGAGTGGCTGCACTGCTTATTACACTGGTTTCCATGCAGACGTGTGCCCTGCAGTGGTGTAGGTTCACACAGGCATTACATCCACATGGCATGCATAGAAACAAATAGAACTAGTCTTCATTTGTGAAAAGGCAGGGAGGACAAACTCTGAAATTAAGGGTTCTGAGGGAGAGATGTACATTTCATCTGCAAAAAGGAAGAAATAAAGACATAATAAGCTTGTGACCATCCAGTCATTTAGTCAAAATGGACCAACCTGAACAAGTTGTTGGAGTTTATAAAATGGTCTGGGCTTATTATTTCCTCCAAACAATAGTCTAAACAGAAAGTAAAGTTCAGAACATGACGTAGGGCACTGTTACCTCTGTGAAATAATTTCCTGAATCCAACACCTAACCTCTAAATAGCTCAGGGCATGGTTTCAGTTCTGTGGGCTTGTTTCTGCAGCATGGAATACCTACTTGTTTCATTAAAAGTAAATACAAAACTGAAACAAAAGTATTTTAATATGCAAAATGAGTTAAAGTACAGACAGGAATCCTCTCATGACAAGCATAATGACTTGTCTGGGAAACTCTGCATTGCTGTTGCTGTAATTTTAAGAGCCTGTTGCATAAATACCATCAAAGGAGGGCTTAAGCAATGTCTGCCAGATACCTGCTTCATACCTGTTACTTATTTGGCTCGCAGAGTGAAATCCAAAGCCTGGAGCTGTGTTTTCAGGACCTTGATAGTGTAAAGGGAGAAGTGAATACCTGAGAAATCAGCCCCATGTGCTGAGCATGGGTTGATTACAGCTGCATGAAGAATGCTAAGCATGGCAGTGTGGGTCCCTCTCTCTGCTTCAGGTCCTTGACCCAGGGCTAGAAGCAGGAGTGGCAGCATTACTGCCTTTGTGAGCCACAGCATGGCAGCTTGGAGCACCTGCCTTGTTTTGAAGGCTTCTTTTTACCAGCAGCAGTGCACATGAAAATCAGCAGCAGCTCTGAATGAGGGACTTGGGCTCCAGGACATCTTTCCTGTACTGTCAGACTTTGGTCCTATTTCTTCTAACTCATCGTTAGTGACGGGGAATCATTTTTTTCCTTTCTCAGCTATTTAAGAAGCTGCTAGGGCACTTTCAGGGGTTTAAGACCTGCAGTGGGCCACAGGTCTTTGCAGTATTCCTAATCATTAAGTTACAGTTTTAAAAGTTACACCACAGCATGCACAGCATCTCTGCTGTTAACATTTCTGAACAAGAGTAACTGTGGCTGCTGCCCTAAGTGTGCTAGGTGGAATCTGAGCTGGGCAGTCCTGTGGAGTCTTCCCAGGGGTTTGCATGGAGTAGAGAAAATCTTGTGATCAGCACAATTGCAGCCCAGGCCAAGATGGCTCTATGCAAGCAGGACAGATATACCTGCAGCTAACTCATGGGTTAGTTCTGAATTCTAGGCCACTGTGGTTGGCTACTAGCAAGTTTTTGGTGTCTCTAGAATAGAGAGTCATTGAAACGGAGAGGGCAGAAGCTTGGCTTATGATTTTGAGCATGATATCCAAGTCTTCTTTTATGTCCACCCATAAATATTGTAAAATATAGCAGTGATTTAGATCACGCATAGAAGGATGTGCTGCATTGTGACCTAGGACTTAATCCATGTCCCTGAAGAATTCAAGCAGCTGTTCTTCTGTGACATGGTATGTTTTGCATGTGTCAAAGAGATAGGTGAGATATTGCTCAGCATGGAGCTGCAGCATTTTGAAAATGTGGAAGGAAATGAATAGAGTGATATTATATTTCCAAGAACTGGAAATCCTCTGACTGCTGCTCTGAATGCAGCTTTTAAGAGGGCTCACCAGGAAGTCATAGATCCATAGATCATAGTCATCTAATCCCAGTCTTTGCAATGAATCTACTAATTAACATTTATTATACTGTGCCAGGTATTGTAATTGATGCCAATTAATTTTTGTCTTTTGTCTGTTCTGGCTTGCAGGGTGGAAAGAGTTACACAGGACCATGTGGAGGAAGAGACTGCAGTGGAGGATGTCAGTGTTTCCCTGAAAAAGGAGCCCGTGTAAGTAATATATTTTCCCACAGAAAGATCTTCATGCCATCAGCTCAGTGCCATTTGCTTTAGGTAGACTTGCATTAGAGTACTGGGAATATTCAATTTGTGTGGGGGTTTTTTGTTGTTTTTTTTTTTTTTTTTTTCAGGAAAAAGGTACTGTTGTTGCATCTTACTTCCTTGAAAGGAAGTAGATTTGAAAAAAATACTTTGTTATGAAGTATAGCAGATTATTCTTTTAAAGCTAAGGGTCAAGGGACCTCACAATGCTAAATGATTGTTAACAAAATCACCCAATAACTTTCTTGAAGTCTTACTAATGAAATTGTATCTGATGAAAAGATACCTCATACAGGTGGTTTCCATTAAATCAGATGGGAAGCAGGTCTGCGGGACTTGAAATTCCTACTGGAAGGAAACTGCCTGGGACTTTCTGGCATTGGGTTGTTTCTGGTACTCATTTCTTTTAGGGAATAAAGATGAGAGGCAGAGAATGGGAGATGCGGTGGAGGCAACAAGCCACCTGCTCATAAAGCTCTGAGCAGTTGGGCAGTTCTTTGTGGCTGAAAGTCCTGGCTGGCAGGCTCCTTTTGTTCAGCATGGTCTTTTGTAGCTGAGACAGTGACTCAGCCTTTTCCATCCACCCATCCCTAAGAATAGGCCAGGCAAGAGATGTGGCAGATCATATGCTTTCTGCTATCTCTCTTATTTTCTTCCATTCAGTGGGCTGTCAGTTCCCATTCCCATCACATTCCTCAAGCTTGACTCCACGTCTGAGTGGAAGAAGAGATTGGTAGCAAAGTCACTGTGTAGGTGGAAGGCAAGGAACACTTTTGTTTACTGCAGAAGTCCTGATGTCTCTGTGGAAGTCAGATGATCCCAGGCTTACCCTGTCACGAGCATTGCAATTGTTATACTCCCTTTTCCTGACCACAGTCTGTTCTTGATCAGCTTCCCATTGCAATAACCTAATGACAAACTGACGACACTGAGGTCAAATAAATCCTTCCCCTGAGGCACAGCTTCTGCAGGGGCTCTCTCCAGCTGTTATTGCCCTTCCCTGATCATTCAGCACATGAAGCTTAGCAGATGCCTCCTGCCACTCCCCTGCAAGGGCACTGAAAGCCTACTGTTGCTGGGTGAAATGGCTTTAAGTATGATATTCTATGCTTCTCTTCAGTGGGATTTTTTTTGAGTTGTTCTAAGGTAAAGCATGGACCTACTAGCTCTCCACTGATGTTCATGAAAATTGTGACTTCTGTGACTAACGTATTTTTCTCCTTCCTTTTGTCTGTAAATAACCCTTAATTTCAAGTTGCTACATCTGCAGGAGAAGAGAGGTAGCTAAACAAAAGCAATTGCATGAGTTAGAAAAGCTGGAAATGTGAAGCTATCAAAGCAGAGAATCACCCAGGTGCCACAGAAGTTTAGTTGCTTCATATCTAGATTAGGAGACAAGGGCATACTCTGTGTATTCACTCTCCACTCTCACTCTTTCACTTATGTCAGGGAAGCAAGTAATCCCATTAACTAAACACACTGATTAAATAGGCACTGAAAAAGGGAAAAAGAGGATGTTATAAAACATTGATTACATTTTTCATTGATTACATTTTGTGGTTAGTGGTGGAAATTGTGAAGGATTACAGGGGAAAGTGATTTAAAGACTTCAAAAATTGTATTTAAATTCTCTGCAACCATATACCTCATTCTGAGTCAGCATAGTGTGCGTGTATTTTGTGCCTGCTTCTCTCCTCAGATGTCACAACCTTGGTGAAACATCTGGTTTAAGAAATAAGAGCGGCCTTTAGAGACTAGTCAAATTTGGCATAGCTTCTGGTCTCATGCTCAGTTCTCAATGGGAATATTTATTTTCACAGAACCTCTGTATAATCTGGCACGACGCACATTTTCTTTTTGAGGTGACTCATTACATGCACAATAGACATATTGCATGTTTGTACTTGTAAGAATGCCTGAAGCAGCTTGCTGGAGCCTGCTTGTTTGGTGACTCTGTGTCAGGTACCACACAGCTGTCACTTGCAGGGCGTCTGGAATTCAGGTAGAAGCAGTGCTGAAAGAGCCAGCAGCCAATGGCAATACCACTGCCCTGCCATACAGTGTAAGTGCACATTCTTCTCATAGCACATCTCTCAAAACCAGGCAAACAAAAGCACTTTCTTCAGCTTCCTGCTGCTGAATGCATATCAGAAACTGTTGAATGAAGTAAATTCACTGGAGTGGTAAATAGTAATGCAAAATATGACGGTGGAAAAGGTCTGAGAAAAGCTCTATCTTTTTATTCATGTATGGTTCTGCTTCATTTTCTGCCTTTGTTTCAGTTACAATCTTAAGGTATGGCATTTAGACAAAGATGCTTTTCCTTATTGTCTTAATTCAATTACACTGTGTTAAAATAGTGAAATGTGCTCAGTGCTATGTTCTGGGGGCTCTGTGCTAGAGGTACAGAGGCACTGTCTGTCCAGATGTGTGAGGATTCAGCCAGACTCAGGTGATGTGTGCCAGGTCTCCAGATGCATGATGGCTGGAAGCCCTGTGGTTCTATCTGCACAGCTTTTGGTGTGAAACTAATAACTCTTACGTGAAGGCACAGAGAAGTTGAATCATGTGTCAGGAAGGCAGTTTCTAGGGACTAAAGGCCACCTAGCACAATTCAATGCACCCAACAGGCCTGCCAAAAAAAAAGAATTATGGTATTCCTAGGTTGTGATTTTTCCTATTTCCAGCTTTTTGTCCTGTTCATGGCTGAGCTTGGCCATGAAGCTTTCTCTGGGCACAGATGGAGCAGAGTGAAATCCATTGGGGATGTGAAAATGAAGTGTCAGAAGCTTGACCCACTTGCCATAGTGGTGAGGAAACTCTGCAGCAAGGCAAATGAAGCAGCTAATGTGCAAGCTTCCACCTCTTGTTTGAACTGGGAGCTTGGAACGGCACTTTCTGCCTCATTTCCATGAGGAAGATAGATCTGATTCAGACCTTCAGAGAATCACAGGACATCACAAGTGATGATGACTTCTGCAATTCACAGCTTAGAGAAGATTTTTCTAAAGGCGTCTTTCCAGGGCCACACGATTCCCTTGAAGTTGCCACCTTCTGCCTTGCTTTTGAGTTGATGCCTCCAGAGCAAAAAGAAGAAAGGGAACTTCTTCCATAGGTTGTTTTTTTTCTACTGTCTAATGACACCCGAGTCTTTGCTCCTGTTCACAGCAGGAACCTAATTCAAACCTAGGTGTGTATTTACTGTTAGCTGGATACAAATATCCAGTCTTTAAAGGTCTGATCATACCTTAAGGCCAGCTGCGCAGTCATCCAGCCATTCTTGCAGCTGGGAAATCTCTCAGCAGAGATACAATGAGAATCCAACTTCCTGCACGAGGGTGCAGACCCATGCAACAAGCAATTGTGTATTCAAGCCTCAGGTGGAGGGCGCAGATTGACAAGGGAGGAGAGCAGCCTCATCTTCTCAGTAACTAATGTGTGAAGAAAAGGTGCCTGGATAAGACAGGAAGGAGAAGAGGGAAGCACTGACGCTGTATTGGAATTCTACTTTAAATGAAGCAGAAGCTTTCAGCTGAAGGAAGGGGGAAAAAAATGGATAAACTTCTGTTTTCTTTCCTTTTCCTCCTTCCCTTTCTATTGCAGCTTTTAGAATTTTGAGAGTTAAAGTTCTTTGCAGAGTGTATAATGGGCAGAGATTGCATCTATTGGTGCATATATACACACCTTTCAAGTCTGTTAAAACATGAATGCACTTATGTAGGAAACGGTAACTCCTTTCAGTACAATGGCCAACTGTTCGACTTGCTGAAGTTCATAATCAACCTCACTTCATAATCAACCTAGAGGGCTTTGTAGAAAGTGGAAATGAATAGCAATCTTCTTGATCTTTCTGTAGAAAAAAGGCACTCTATTGAAATCCAGCTTTGTACTTTCTATGTGAAGCAAGTGTCGAGCACTGCTTGCGCTGTTGTTTTTACAAGGGACTGCAGTAATGGTAACTGAAATGAAAGGACAGCTTCGTGTTCCCATAAAGGCCATTTTATGGGAATGCCAAAACATTTCTTTTTAATCAGGACTAATTCAGTAAATGAAATTTAATTCACTAAAGCTCCTTTACAGATATTTGTTGCATTGCTTTCACTAATGCAGTGGCCAAGGTTACGTTCTTATTTGTTCACGTATAATCATTCCTGTCTGCTTTTGAGTGCTATACAGTTGTGAAATCCAGTGTCTGATCTTAACTTACAAGCATTTTCCATACAAGCTTAAGTCTTAACACATGGACTACATCAAGCAGATGTTTTCTTCTGTAGTTAAATGAAGTCAACAAAATGCAACACTTAAATATTCTAAAGTCACTTCCATTCTTATATCCTTAGGGAAACTGGTTAGTTAAAACCAGTAAAATAATTTTATTAACTGTTAATGTAATTTTTGAACTTCACAATAAACCAGGTTCTCAGGTGATATAATGGCAGTAGCTCAACTCATGGTTAGTGTAATTTGATATATCTGATATTTTACCCTTTTTTAATAAGAACATGATAAATTTCTTCCCATCATCTACCTCTAGTACATCTAGCCCATTACTCTGTCTAAAACACTGATGGTAGAATGTTCTATTTAGGGGGAGTGCAGAGATCTGAAAACTTTCTGCAGTCCATTCCCTTGTAACCAAAATCATACTGCTAGAGATATGACATATTTCTATATTTCTTCAGTACTTATGTTTCTCCCTGAATTTATTCAATCCTTCCTGTAGCTGATCTGTGTCCTTACAACTTCCTGTGGCACCAAGGAGTTCACTAATCAAATAAAATGACATTACTGCCCAACATCTATTTACTTCTGGTTTCATCAAGTACACCCTATTTCTAGTACTGTAAGCTTGGGAAAAGAGCAGTTCTACATTTACTTTGCTTCCTGCTTCCAGAATTATGTAAATCTCAATAATTTCCCCTCTGCACTTTCTGTTGTCCAAAAAGCAA